GTGAGGTGTTACCATTAGTGATTAGTTTTTGATGATTTCTTGCGCATAAACTACTCAAACTAAGGATAAACTAGTTTTGTTGTCAATTTACTATTTTAACCTTGCATTCTTAGCGTTGACTTTTTGGATATGAAATAGAAGTATAACAATATGAATTCATATGGTTATTTTGGTTACGTATTTGATCATATAAGAATCACTCGGAGGCATCAACGTGGAAGGGTAGGTTTATAATTTGACTAATAAACATTGAAAAATGACACATTTAAGTTCTCTTATTACCATTATCCCCTATTAGTTTTACAAATCCCCGAATCTTGCATTTTCACAAATCAGATTAATGTATCAGCACATCAGATTAATGTATCTTACTCATCAAATTAATGTATCTTATGTATCAAATTAATATATCTCGCACATCAAATTAATGTATGTACATCAGATTAGAGTATCATGTATAAAACGTAATATATCTTACTTAATGATTAATGTATCTCGAGCATTAGATTAAAGTATCAGCGCTTATATTATTGTATCGGTTTGAGGGATGTTTGTAATTATAAACTTATAAAGGACAAATAATAATTTTACCTTAGAAGTATGTGATTTTTGTCCTTTGCCCTTAAGTATTTGATTAAGGTAAGTTAAAAGGCTTTCTTTCTTTGACTGATCTTATGAAGTGCTAGTCAGGAATAAACCAGAAATGCAGAGATTAGTGACGTGTTGAATTGTGTTTGGTACGAAATAATCTTTGTAGAAGTACAACTTCAGATTAAAAAAACAACGTGATGTAAAAGAATTTGCTTTAGCAAGCTTGAAATTTCATGCTTAGTGAAGGAAGATCCAATAGCCTCTAAAAACAACCTGACTTTTATTCATTTTCAAATTCTATGTTTGCAACTTCATAGTTCACATAGAAACTTAACTGCCGACCTAGGGTTTCTGGTAGCTCCTGCATAGGCAGCAGCTGCGCAGCTATCATGGCTGCTACAACCATTGGACGGCCTCCTTTCGAGGCTGTCCAGCCCGCCCCACCACCCCAAACCACCATATACGCCATTCTTTTCAATTCCAATACTATAGATCCTAAACAATCTGCCCTAATTAACTCAAAGATAATCTTAAAATCAATCGAAATAATTCATGGAGAACCTATATCATATTTTCAATAGAAGAAAGACAAGACTTTATGATCGAAGAGCGATTACGTCAAGCAGTGGTGTTTAAATTATCCCATGGTGCGCCAAATTTGAAGGTATTACTGTCAGTTTTACCGAAACATCTTGGTACCAAAGATAATTTTTTAATTGGCTTACTTGCTCCAAGACAAATTTTGTTGAGGTTTGATCAACATGAAGATTATGTACTAGTTTATCTCGTTCAGTTAACTATCTTCTCTATAATTGAGAGGAGCACCAATGTAGGGTTTTTCCATGGTCCATTGGATATAACTCTAAGAAGGAAACAATGTTAGCTGTGGTTTTAATTTCTTTACCGAACTTATCCTCAGATTTTCTTGCAAATAAATCTCTATTGTCTATAGCATTAGCAATTGGGAAACCAATTGTTAATCTACTCAAATCTAGTCAAGATGTAGCACGGCTAGGGTCGAGGTTATACTTGTCTAATGGAAAAGCTTCCAAATAGTATAAGGTTGTATTTGTGGTAGAAAATATGGTAAGTTGATCGAGGTTTTTCAAGAGATTATATATGATAATCGACCTCTGTATTGCAATTATTGTAAGCACCAAGGTCATGATAAAGATAGTTGCCGTTTGATGTCGACAAGAAACCAAAATTAAAACGAATTAATGATACCATTGAAGTTGCTTTAAAGGGTACTATCGACCTTGAAAAGTATCAAGGTGATGCGAGAGAAATACCAAATGAATAAAGAAAGACTGTAGTTGTTGATCAAAATAAAGTTACTTCTTTAGATCGACAATTGGTTACTTCCACTTTTGGGCAAAATCCTATAGACTTAATAGATGTTAATACAAGTAAATATTGGTGTTCAAATAATTACCGTAAACAAAGGTGATCGCAATAACTTACAGGCTGCTACTAGTGAGGTGCAATCTGAAGGAATATTGATTGTATTAAAGTGTTAACCTAATAAGGGAATACATGAGAGATATAGGAAGGAGATATAGGAAGGAGTACTAATCCTAATAGGACTAGGATTAAGGAGTACTAATCCTAATAGGACTAGGATTAGTACACAGTAAATACTAATATTATTTTATACTATTTATTTAATACTATCTGTTATTACAATCAAATGATGTTGGGCTAAATTTGATGTCTAATGCAACTAAAATCGCAAGGGGGGACACCAAGAGCCGAGGTTGATGCGCCGCGAGTTGGTTCAGGGAAAAAATTAATGGATTCACACAAAAACTAATGGATATATCTCATGTCGAACATTCTGAAAATTCTGGGCAACATGTATCGCAAGTTGAAAATGATAATCCAACTAAAATTTGGACACTAGTTGCACACAAATATCAACTAATAGTTGGATCCTTGCCCGAGTCAAAATAATTCTCCATATAGTGAAAATGGTCCTAATGAGAATTTTCATGACAATAAGAAGAGGCAAGATATTAATACTACCTCAAGAGACCTGTTACGTTCTAATAGCTTTGAAAAGTTGTTGAAGACTATTGGAAAGCAAGTACGGTTAACAGAACAACGATTTGATTCGAAGAAAATAAGGACTCACCACCTGCTTTGAATAGCAAATTAAGTCCAGAAGCTTCTGTATTTGTGTCTAAATGTGTGCTTGCAAAGAAGAATGAGTCAATGGCTTTAGTGTCAAATACAATTGATTTGGGTGAAAATTCCCTTAATGAAGATGAGGAAGACAACATGTTGGACACATGTCTTGATATAGTGGATAGGGAGGGGATATATCACCTAGGCAACAACGAAGTGGAAGCGACAAAACCAAAAAGAAGTTACATGAAAATCAACATAGTTGGGATGGTAAAATGACTGAGGAGTTTGTTCCAAGAAACCTATCGATGCGACAAGCAAAGGAAAACCATTTGACGATATAAATAGGTTCAACTAGATCCAATAAATTCATATTGCATCTAATTTGTATTAATTTGAATTTAGAAATTGGCAATATGGATATTTGAGCATATGGTATAAATTATTCATTTATTATCAAATTCATCTTGTATTAATAGAAGTATTATCGATTAAGTAACACGTACAAGAATAATAACACACTGACAAATAAAAATGTATTCCCACAATAATGCAAAATGATACAAGAATTACATAAAACTGTGAATTGTATACCAAAATTAATTTGGACATTCATACGTTGACTCCAAATGGAAAAGAAAACTTAAATATAAGCTAATAAACAAAAGATACGAAGGAATAGGTCATCTCTTCTATACTTTTAAGTTCAACTATTCTACTGTAAGAAAACTTCTCTTTTTATTATTTCATCTCTTATGCTTCTATACAAGTATTCTACTATGAGAAAGCTAACTTCAGACTGATATCATTTGTTCTTCTCCTTAGCTAGTTTTTTTATGATATTTCATATCATTATTTAGGAAGAAGATTTTAGAACCGTAGATGAAAAAGGAAAAACAACAATGATCTAGGGACAAGCAAATTGTAGTTATAATTTACTGGTATTTGTAATGATATAATTAATTATCTTTTCACGTATCAAAATTCAATAACGAGACACATTGACATAAATTTTATTTTTGGTTTCAAAATTGAAAGAGTCACTGAATTAGAAGAATTTCAATAATGAGGCACATTGAATCATTACACATAATTTTTATTTTTGATTTCAAAGTTCAAAGAATCACTGGATTGAAAGAGTTTCATACACATTGTTTTGTCTTCTAATTTAATTAAATTAACAAACCTAATCAATTATAATGTCATAACATAAGAATTAAAGTGTGTGTATATATATATATATATATATTTAGCATCCCATAATATTTATATTTATGATATAATAACTAATATATAAAAGTTTTGGCAGCAAAACTAACTTTAGCATCTAAACTATACGAACGTTTAAATACCCCTCTTAATAACTTTCAAGTGAATTAACTACTCCTAAGGGGTGATCCACTCTCTTAAAAGCGAGTGAAAAGTTAAAAATGAAAAAACTGAATTATAAAATTGTACCGTCATTCTTTTATTGGCTAGTATATAAATAATATTTTAAATACTTTTTTTATAAATTAAGTTTTTTTTTTAAAAAATGATATTCTAATTAGGAAGTAAAAAATAAACTGCGGGCCCCATTTTAAAAAAGAAAATAATTTTTTTCTCTCTTTATAATTTTGTTGTCTTCCCCAAATACTTTTCTCTCCATTGAAGCATTCTTATACATTTCTTCACCCATATTAGTCACTTTCTTCATCTTTATCGCCCACCTCTATACCCTACTTCCATTTCATCAGCCTTTTAGTAATCCACAAAATCCAACACTAACATTGTATTTAATACTTTAATTTCAATATAAACTTTGTTGTTTGAGTGATCCATTTTGTGAAAAAAGGCTACTTTTGGAGTGGGGTGGGGTGGAGAGAGTTCTAAGGAAAAAAATTAATATGTTATTTTTGTTTCAAAAATGGTTAATTGTAAGGAAAAACATACAATCATTAAAGGTTGAAGGATGGGATTTTTTTCAACGAGGACCAGCAATTGTGAAAATGAACGAAGTAGAAAGGAAGAGGCGTAGAAGAGGAGGAATTTAAGCAGTGGGATTCACTTCTTAAAAATATTTAAATTAATAAAAAATATGGGTTCAACATTTTAATCTTTGATTTTAGAAGATATTTTTTTTAGTTATAAATTAATTTGCATAGAAGAGAAGCTATTTAAAAAGTGGGGCCCACTTGTTAAAATGATTTAAAATTAATAAAAATAGCTCAACATTTTGAATTTCAATTTAAGAAAATGCAATTTTGTAATAAATTAATTGATTGTGTAGTAAATTTTAAAAAGTACTCAAGGAAAAAAGTGAATTAAACAAAAAAGAACAAAAAAATTTAATAATATAATGCTTACATCAATATGATATGGTACTTGCATGATTATAGTGTGACGGGTGAGTGTAGTATTGTTAATAAAAGTAACAAAAGTGGGGCAGGAGAATTTCTTCAAATAAACAAATACATTGCGGGTGAAAAAAGAGAATAACAAAAAGTATTGGGGGTATCAGGGTAATTTTTTTGAAATAGTAAGATGCAGAAAGTGTGATCCATCAGAATACTTATAAACCGAATTTCCCGCCCAAAAGTTGTAAACCGCCATTAACAAACTTTGCAGTTGAGCTTTCCAAAATCCACCATTGAAGATGACAATTCCAATTGTAGCGGTTTCTAGGGAGAAAGAAGAAGTCTCTACTGATCTAAAATCTACCATTGAAGATGTTTCTACTCGTCTACAAGATCTAAAATCCACCATTGAAGCAGTTTCTACTGATCAAAAAGATCTAAAATCCACCGCTGGAGAAGTTTCTACTCATATGGAGGATCTAATATCCGTCATTGAAGAAGTTTCTACTCATCAGAAAGATCTAAAATCCACCATTGAACAAGTTTCTACTGATCAAAAAGATCTAAAGTCCAGCGCTGAAGACGTTTCTGCTCATCTAAAAGATCTGAAATCGGCCATTGAACAAGTTTCTGCTCATCTAAAAGAATTAAATTCACCATTGAAGATGACAACTCCAACTGAAGAGGTTTCTAGGGAGAAAGAAGGAGTCTGCACTCATCCAAAATCCACCATTGAAGAAGTTTCTAGGGAGAAAGGAGAAGCCTCCTCTGATCTAAAATCCGCCATTGAAGAAGTTTCTACTCGTCTAAAAGATCTTAAATCCACCATTGAACAATTTTCTACTGATCAAAAAGATCTAAAATCCACTGCTGAAGAAGTTTCTACTCATATAGAGGATCTAAAATCGGCCATTGAAGAAGTTTCTACTCATCAAAATGATCTAAAATCGGCCATTCAAGAAGTTTTTATTCATCAAAAAGATCTAAAATCCACCACTGAAGAAGTTTCTGCTCATCTGAAAGATCTAAAATCCGCCATTGAAGAAGTTTCTACTCATCTAAAAGAATCCAATCCACCATTGAAGATGAGCACTCCAACTGAAGAGGTTTCTAGGGAGAAAGAAGAAGTCTCCACTGATCTAAATTCCAGCATTAAAGAAGTTTCTACTCATCTAAAAAAATCCAACGAGGATTGGATTTCAATTATGTCTAAACTGGTGGAATGCCTCGACGAGTTTTGCGACCACCATTTCCCGTCAACTACAGAACAAAAAATCTCTGACATCAAGCTTCAAATTGGTTTGTGCATCAAAGTCCTTGAATGAGTTCCTGCAGGTATAGATTATCCAGAAGAAGAAAAAAATGCATTCAATTTAATTTATGGAGTGAGTTTAAGTGGTATGAATTCGTGCAGAGAAGAAGGAATTAAGTCATGAACGTGCAATGTTCGAGTATATAAAAGGAAGGATATTTAATGCAATTCCTGATGTTTACAAGGAGGAAGCAGAGTATCATCTAGTGAACGCGGTAACTGAAAGAAGAATTACATATTTGAATTTGTGTTTGGTTTATTTCTTACTGTTAATTTTATCTACCAGACTCAATTGAATCCGCTTTTGCTGGAAGCTTGGGATTGCCTGGGCTGTTGCTTTTCCAAGAAAGGGGAATACCAAAGAGCTAAAAAGTGCTATAAGTTTGTCCTTCATATGGTCATATTTCGCTGCTTCTTTAGTACTTAACTATTCTGTTCTTTAAACTTCAAACGCTCCCTTCATTGAATGGATTCTTCCTCCTTTATTTGATTTAGGCTGCAGAAAATAGCATAATTTTACGTCGAATTGCATATCTTGAACTGAAGTTTGCACAAGGTGAATTCTTCTGTTTTTTTTAACGTTAATTTACTTTGTTCCAAGGAGAATCTCAAGCATTTTATTTGCTTAATTGGATTCTGATTTCTACCATTTTCAATTTAAAATATTCATTTAACTAAACAAAGCAATTTTTTTAACGAGTTTTCAAAGTTGTGTTGCAAAATTAAATTTTGAAATTTGATCTTTTTAAATATCTACAGTAATATTTTATTCTTTCACTAATTAAGTTTGTTGTAAAAATTTCTCAATAAATTTCTATATTTACATGGCATAAAAAATAATTTATTTTATCATATCAATATTTTTTTTTGATAATAAATTTGGTTAAGTGATTTTATTGATAAAAATATTTAAGTTAAGTGTAAAATAAACTTTAGTGACTTTACTATATAAATTATCAAAGTTGAATCACCTCTGACATATTAACTCTAATAATAACTCATGGAGAAAATTCAGAACTTAAGTGACTTCACTATATATATATGTACACACACTTTTTTCTTAGTGGCTGCTGCTATCTGTTCATCTGATTGTATATCTATTTCATAGTTTCTTCAAATTCAGCCTAGACTGCCTGGCACATTGACAAATGCATCAAGTATGCCCAAAAGACACTCGTTCTAGATAGCATGGATGGAGCTTGTTTATGTAAGACTTCTGAACAGAATCTATTTAAAAAAGGCTTTAATCACTCACCTCTGAGATTCTCTGATATTGTGTCATAAACATTCCCTGCTTTAGCACTCTCAGCTTCGCCAATTCACTAAATGTTTACTTGGTGTTTGTCAATGATTTTTTTCACCATTCACATTTTGTATAGCTATAGTTAAGAAGTAGCATACAATTACATTGAAGACAGATTAAGGTGCAGAAATTACATACTTTGGTTCATGGAACCATGAAGTAGCATAAGCGCAGTACCTGGAATTTTCTTAAGTATATACTTGTGAAAACATGCAAATGTCCTGCTTTACTATAAAGTGTATGTTATTCTTGGATCTTTAGCTAGTATCTGCACACAGTTTTAGCTATAATAAATATTTTGATAAAAATCCAATTCCTTCAATGAGCTTCATTTGGTTGATAGACATCTTAGGATGCGCATATTTCACTTCCTTTATTTTGAATGGAGGATGGTATTACAATACTCTTCTACTGGCATTAGAGGCACTCGAAGAAGCTGTAAGTTCTTACAATCTTGTCTCTGTATATTTATTTCCTGTTATTTTAACATGAAATATATGTTTACAGTATTAGCTCCCTGCAAGCCTTGTTCTTTTAGATACTTGGAAGTTTCATCTGATTTTCTACCCAATTTCAGAAAAAAATTGATGCAATGAAGTCAAACCCATATTTTGATTACGACTATAGCAGGGTAAGTTGTTGAAAACAATAAGAATTTCACTTATGAACTGTTGTATCATATATAGGATATTTCAAAGCACAATGTTCTCAATTGTTGCTAATTATCACCTAGTATTTTTATGATGGTGTTCTTAAAGAACAATAGTTAGAAAAACTAAATGATCAACAGGTTGCAGATAAGGCCTCTAAATAAGCTTGGCACTCTTAGTGTTTTTGAGAATCATTAGGATCTATGTTGATATATAAAGATTCAAAGGAATGAAAGTTGGTAAACTAAAGGAAAAGTCATGATTAGAAATAGAAGCATTCTTTTATAAAATATGACATACACAGGTCGTACTTGAACCAAACATGAGGATACAGGTTGAAAGATCAGTTAAATGACTATTACAAGATCTGAAGAGATCATAGACATGTTGAATTGAGTTCAGTACAAAATAATCTATATAGAAGATCAAGTGTGTATAGGGAAGTCCAACTTCAAATTAGAAAAGAAGTCTGATTTAAAAGAATTGGCTTCAGCAAGCTTGAAAGGTTTTATGCTTCGTAAAGAAAACTCACTTTTATTCATCTTCAAATTTTATGTTTGCACATATGATGATATCTTAAACATAGACTTCACCTACCCCCTTCTAAAATTCAATGCCATAATATTTGTTTTCTCAGGTGAATAGATTTGTGGAGAACTACAAGGGCTCCCTAATTGGATTTTCAGATGCTGCACTAAAGAATCCTGCGAGTGATGCCTCACATCAAGTGAAACTGACGCTCGAGCTTCTTGACAAATTAGAAAGATTACTTAAGGTAAGATTATTCGATTGTGGTTATTTTATGTAAAGCATCCGCAGGTGATATTATAATCCATTGCATTAAGAATGTCTTGGTTGATGACATTAGAATCATAAGTGAAGTGAGTATGATGAAAGGTGCTTTGTTTCCAGCAAATATACAAAGTTAGGCCTCTGATAACTACTTACAAGAGGTATTCGAGGAGTCACACTCCCTGTAATTGTACATGTGACCTCTCCAACATGGCACAGTGGAGTGCTTTGATGTATTCACACATACCTGTCACTAGTATGGAACTCCAACCTATTTAAACACTAATTTTATCAGCAGAATTACCAAAGAAAGATATCTGTTCCTGCTATAATAAGAATGTACGATGAGGTGGTCCTTTAAGATGGCCTTTGAGAACCATTCATTATCTACAAAGTTCTGCTGTGTTTAACTTTAGCTAACAAGTATTAATGATAGCTAGGGGGAAGATATAACATGAAATTTGGTTTTATGGCATGAACAGAAAAACACCAAAAGATAGTCATGCTTTTCCATGATTTCTATAATTGTTTTGATGTGTAGGTTTGAGGTTCAGTTGATTGAGTGATTCTCGTAAAATTGCCAAATAAGTAGAGGCTAGGAAACTGCAATGCAGCTAAGATTATGTGGAATGAAGAGCTGTTTGGACATAAATATCCAAGTTGGGTATCTAACCTAGTAATACAATTTGTATCATTGGGCTAAAATAGATCATGAGATCAACTTGGTAACTCTACTATGACTACCTCAGAAAGCTTTGTAAATTTTCTCCTACTTGATGGATTTTTTTCAGAATTCTTTTCACTTACTACAACAGAACAACAACATGCTAAGTGAAATCCCACGAAGTGGGATCTTGGAAGGATTAGAGTGTACAGACTTACCACTACAAATAGTTGCAAATTTACTCATGCATTAAGCATAAGGCGTATCTAAAAGAACAAGATGTGTCTAATAGAAAAGGAGATGAGGTACTGACCATATCTTGTGTCCTTCAAATAGTTGTTCAAAATAATGAGTAAACTGAGCAGGAGCATAGCCCTGTATTAACTGAAAGGTGCCTCGGCTGACATTTTAATTGTTTCTTCTTCTTTCATTTCTTGATTTTTTTCGAGAAATAGGAAAGTTATGATATAGTTTTTAAGAAATAATGCCTTAAGATTCTCAGTTGTTAAATGCTTTCTTCTTTTGAAGCTGTTAAGAAATTAGGAATCAGATTGTGAAGGATGCATTTGAATTATGTGATCCTTCTTTTCAGGGTAAGCGTAATGACAAGAATAAGGGGAAGAGTAAGGGAAAGAGTAAGGGAAAGAGTAAAGGAAAGAGTACTGAAACAAGCTTGCCTGACCGGATCCAGTCACTTGCTAATATTGATTGCAAGGCTTTACATTCTTAACTGTAAACAATGAGGTATATGATTTAGCAATTTTTCTATTAGTTGAGGTAATGTGTTTCCTCGCAGTGAATCCTTCATACAAGAGAGCAACCATGGATCTCTTAACTGAAGGCCTTAACGAACAGATTGAGGTTGTAGCAGTAGTACGGTGCTTAGTTGAGTATGGGTATATTGGTCCATTGTAAGTTACTTCATCTTGGAGGAACCCACACGAGTTGATCATTTTCAGAATTTCCTTTAGAAGTGAAGTTACTTGTCTGTGCAGCCCTACTTTATGCTTACATACTTATTTCTAAATGTGTACTCTTATTCTACAGATACTATATGCTCTGTGACTCTGATGAGAAAAGTTTTGTACTTACAATGTTCGGCATACAGAAGGAAGCAGTAAGCACTACCTTATGTTGTTTTAATGTTTGTTGGTACATTTATCCATTAAGATCTTAATTCCTAGAAAAAAATGGTCAAAGTAGAGTATCTTGAAGAAACTGAGATAAGAAAATCAACAAATAAATTTCAGATATTGACACGTTAGTTTGCTGCTAAACTGCTGCAGCACTACATGCCTAAGAATAAGTGAAGGATCTTTCCTCCCTTCGGTCACTTCCTGGATGATAAGTAAGATGAAGGGGAAACACCTCACTTCTTTAATACGTAACCAAACACTAAAGATAAAGAGAGAATAAATGTCATATCTTTGAATATTTATCGTACTTCAGATTTTCATAGTGACGTATAGCCTACCATATTCCTATTAAGAAGGAATAAGAAGATGAAAAAACATAAATGAAGCGTCTTTTAGGTTGATACTGCAAGCACAAAAAGAATCAAAAAGGAAAATAAGTGAAAATGACACAGGAACTAGATTTTCACATCATTACTTAACGAACTACTCTTGTTGACAGATTAAACAAGGAGATCAGGTCACACTATTGGAGCCCATTTGCAAATTTATTGATTTTGAATGGGAAGGAAAGGTAAAATCGTTATAATATCTGTGGTATTTCAGATGCAATTCTATTCCAAATGTCATTTTACTTTCTATACACATTATAATACGTCAGGGAAGGGTGTACTTGAGCCTCTTGCAGTTGTAATTTGGTGTCAATGGTAAATTAACAGGTTACCATCAATAGGGCGTTAATCTCTTCTTTTCTTGGTTGTACCTGATTGGAAGTAGAGAGTCTTCCCTAAACAGGAACATAAAGCAATTTCTTGCTAGTTCTGAAGTCATGTCAATCATTTGCTTTGCTTGTGTGATTTATAATAATCTGCTTCACACCTCACTAATTTGTTATTTTTACTGCAGCACTATCAATTCAAGTCTGTGAGAGTTAATTTTCTGAAACAAGTCCTTGTAAATGGAAATGCCCTGTCTCCTAATTTTGCCATGCCTGAATCAATGTAATACGCATAACTGAGGGAAAAATACTCGTCTATTGCGTGCAGATGTGGGAACTTCAAATGAGATAAAACTGTATATTTTTGACAATGTCGTATTATTCTGCTTTGCCAGATTCATCAGTGTATACCTATAAACAAACTCCTTAGTCATTTAGCAAACCAACTATTTTTTTTTAGGAGAAATTATATGCATTCGTAGATGCATTTGCAAAACAATAATTCAACATATCATCTTCCCTCATCTTCCTCAAAGGACTCCTCGTCTTGTAGGTTAGCAAATCTATTTGTCAATAGAGAACTATTACATACCAACATCTTGTAGTTGCTTGTTTGTGTTAATAGATGTAAGAGAAGTCAACTTCTTAACATCAGAATTCACCAATGCATCAAAAAGCTCTTCGTCGTCTAGAACTTTTGAACATTAGTACCTGTTAAAATCAGTTGTCGCCTTATATGTAATGGAGATGAATCAGCGGAAATGCCACTACCCTTAGGAACAAATATTGGTACTTCGCGGCTCAATTTTCTATGAGGTATGGCATGTTTGTCCTCTTCTTTGATCCACCCGATCAGCCCATCGACTCTCACTTGTAACACCTTTTTTCTGGCTAGTAGTGATCAAATTATTTGTTGAAATAACTCAAGAGATTGAAACAATTGGTAAAGCATGAGAGTTAATCATATTCAACTTACGATCATCATGAAGCTTAATTGGAGAGGCTCTTGGAGAAATAATTTGAGCTCCAACATCAATCATCACCCCTGCTTAATCAACTATATCAAATTGCCCAAGTTCTCTTATTTACGCCACATCTTCAATCCAAAGCATTTCAGAAGCGACTTGTGATGCAACAACTAAAATCCGTTCATGCAATGCACCTGCAGCTTCGTGAAGCAATTTCTTGCTATTTCTGAAGTCATGTCAATCACTTTCTTTGTAGTAGCATGATAATTTAGTCGCTGCCCAACTTCAATTCGACATATTTTCTGTCCAAAACTTTTCCAGTTCTGATGTTGAAATCGAATTCCAATCAAGCATCTACCCTGCATTGATCTTCACTCAAAATTACACATGTATCACCTTATTTGTACCCTTGGACCTTATCCGATTATGGCTTCTGGTTAGTATTGTTAAATATTTGTCGTGCAAAATTTGTTTTTCCATCAAAATAACTTCAAACAAATTTCATACAAATGATGAAATATACAATATGAAGTTAAATAAATTTTGAGAACAATTTATTTAAATCCACTGAGTTTCCTTAAGAAAATTATTCCCCTCAAGTACCTGAGGTTATGGAATATTTCCTCTCAAAATAAAATGATTCACGACAAATAAATAGTGGTACCTCAAAGTTGTTGTCGGGTGAACCACTCAATGACTTGTAATCACACTTGAAGTTTTTGAAAAAGCAAAATCTTTTTTTTCCTTACTATGTAGTGTTTTTCTTCTTATAAACTTGTTTCAAAACTTATGTCTATGTCTGAGAAAAGTTGAGATATTTATAGTCTATAGGCGAACACAATGATTCATGCATGACATGTGAAAAGGCAGCCTAAAAGTACGATAAGGTTGCATTTATCTTTCATGAAAATTCATGAATGAAATAACTTAATTCATACTTGCAACACCCGATCTTTATTCTATGTATCATTATTTATTCACACATTATACAATGAATTCAAAAATTTCCCCACATAAACGAAAAATGGTTATAACATGAAAGATAGATATACACGGACTCGTGTGTTATTATAAACAAAGACTACTTGCATCGGGATAAGTGGGTTTCCCTTTGAACAATCTGTAATGAACTTATATCGAATGCATTTGATCAATCGCTAGATGCAATATCTTTGAATTGTCGAACTTGAATGTACACCTAGACAATATAAGTTAAACAACAAGACTTTACCATCTATGATTCTCGCAATTTTGCTCGTTTCAGGCATGAACACTTTCTGATTTCATGAGAGCTTAGAGAATCAACATTTACTAACATTCTCCTTGAAGCGCCTTCCACTTCACTTCCACTCTCGTAGAGAAACTATTTGGTCATGCCTTGCCAAACTTAGAAGCCTTTAAAAAACTTCAATATAGTCTTTATCATTGGTTACTAAGCCTATCTTCATTATGAAAATGGATTTGATTATTTTACAATGTTGGACCGTCAAACACAACTTTATTTGATCTCTTTGAACCTAGCTTTTGGGATCTTTAGTTTGTTAGGTAGAGTTATTATCATGCTTGATTTGTTCTATGCCTTAAACTCATCCTCTTAAATGACCTTTCAACTCCCTCTCTAATTAGGCATTTTGTAAGTGAATCTGATACGTTATCTTTTGATCTTACATAGTCAATTGTGATAATTTCACTAGAGTAGTTCTCTGATTGTCACGACTAGAATCTAGACCCCAGACGAGACCGGCGTCGTTGACCTCTCAGAGGTCGCAAACAAGCCTACTTACGTCATTCTTACTTTACATAGGTTAATTTTAGCGAAAAATTTGAAATATTTTATTCTTTAATCATACTTGCTAAACATTCTTAATATTTCAAAATCGTTCATCATAAACCATCTAACATTTAAGAGATAAGCAATTGAAAGAAATAATTCATTAAGTATTAATTGTATATCGGCCAAAATAGCACCTATACAAAGTCTGAACCAAAACAGGAGAGAAACGCTAGTGAAACATGCTCCACTAGCTCAACTCTAAAACTACGCTAGAATGTAAAACAGTAGCATCCTCGAAAGCATGAGGACCTACCAAACTCCGGATGAATGCTGACGTCCGGATAGCTGCAACAACGAACCTGTAGCTCTACCGTCCACCTGTGCCTGCACCTAAAAGTAGATGTTTGTATGGAATTAGTACACACTTGTACTAAGTATGGATATATGCAAGCACACACCAAGGACATGCATGAGGAAGAATAGATCTTTCCTAACAACATGATGTTTGAAAGTCAAGTCAGTGGACTTGCTAAATTGAGATTGAGAAAGTTATGCCATGAGAGTGACATGCATCATTATAATCATCGTACTACACAAAATACATAACATCTTCATATAGCACATAACATATAACACGTAGTTTCTTTCATATTATTCATTCATATGCCATGAGACCTTATTATCATAGACTTAACCTTAAGACTTTCCAAAATGAGGGCTCAACATATGGGACCTCAACTAGGGAGCCTTCTTTAGCAAACACAGAGTATGCTTCATTCATTCATACGTATCTCATTTCAATTCATTCATAGGCCAGTGCGAACACCAGCTATACCTAGGATGTAGTTTAAGACTTTCATCGGGTTTGCTGTGCAATGATCAAGAATAACCTAATGTCATTACCTGAATCTAGCTCACCTCTTGATTATCCTATCCTAACACCTTTGGTATCATTCATTTCTTTATATGATTCGTTTGAGGTTGGCCTCATTCATTCATTGGGAACTTTAACTTTAACGGACATAGATCATGTGAGCATCATGAAATCCAGTGTCTCCCCCACATCGAAAAGAGGTGGAATCACTGGCCAAAGCGATTCAATAACATGCTAGCGTATATGGGAATTTAACCCCGCCAGATCCCTATAGTCGCAATATAGGTTCAAAGACTAGGAGATGTATGGAGACCCATACCCGGCAAGCCAGACAGTCTCATCTCATGAGAGTTACGTGAACCTCCACCCTTCCCAAAAGAAGGCATCACCGCTCATAGCTAGCCTATCGTTGCTCAGTATAAAGTTCCATTACATTCAACTCATACATCATGGAAGCTGGCTTCTAGTATGAGGACATCATAGCTCAATAGATGATTTCTCATCTCATCATTAGTATTAAGTGTTTTAAACTCAATATTTTTCATTAGAGTGTTCATAGAGACTGGTCTCTTCATTATCTTACACTCTCATTGGTGAGTACGTGTTGGTAACATTTACTTAGGCTCATTTGAGGTTTGAGGTTGCTTTCATCATATACATTAACCTCGCATCATGATTGTCACCATATTCTTCATTTCATTACGTATATCTTAGGTTCACTTATTCTTGAATGTATGTTAAACTTATGTGTCTATACATACAAACCATGAGGCTTCATTTATAATTCGTTAAGTGATTCTTATTTTCCTAAGATTATCTATTACAAGACTTATGTATCTTCTATATATACCAAGATCTTGATTTTTGATCTAAGTAGATGGCATGAATCTTGAATATTTTACTCACGTATGACTTATGATCATTACGGAGATTTGGGTACGGGCACCCGGCTCTTGAATCACTTGGATATCATGTATATTTTTCATTAATTTTATTTCTAGTATTCATAACATTAGAACTCTAAATTAAATCTCAACATCTTCATGAAATGATTTATTTTCTAATTTAATTAACATTCCAACTTAAATCTCAACATCTTCATGAAATAATGAATTTTCTATATTAATTAGAATTCTAACTTAAATCTCAACATTTACATGAAAGAAATAAATTTTCTATTTTAAATAAAATTCTAAATTAAATTCCAACATTTACATGAAAGAATTAATATTCTTTTTTATTTAGAATTCTAATTTAAATCACAATATTCACATGAAGGGATAAAGTTTCTATTTTAATTTTTACTATTAATTAACCGAAAGGTTGGGGGTTCGAGCCCCAACAACCCCTTTGATTTTTAGAATTAAGTTTACTACAATAGGGATGTTGTGGGTTCGAACCCCCACAACCCCCTTATTTTCTTTTAATTTTCGCTGAAGAGAGGAGGCTGTGAGGTGGTGGGTTCGAACCCCCACAGCCCCACAGTCACGATCCAAAACCGGGCCGCGACTGGCACCCACACTTACCCTCCTATGTGAGCAAACCAACCAATCTAAACCTTAACATTTCAATATAATATCAACATGAAGTAACGCGGAAGACTTAAACTCATTAATAAAAATCAATAATCAACTTCTATAACTCAAAACTTATCATTCCCCAAAATCTGGAAGTCATCACCACAAGAACATCTATGATCAAATGACTAAACTAAGAGTATTCTAAAAGCTAAAAATACATAAGAAGCTAGTCCAT